TGCCTTAGACATCCTTTCTGCTGTGCTCACCAGTATTTGGGCAGTTCACCTGCCCACTTTCTCTTGTACTTACTGGTTTTTTATTTCCTGTAAACTGCTCTAGGATGGGCACAATACATCTCTCTGCGTCTGCTCTTGTTCACACGCATAAACATGTTACGTAGGTAAATTCCTCTGACATTTATATAATGCAAATACTATCTGTCCCTTGAGCTGATTTATAAATGAGACGACAGATACAGATCCTTTTGTGCATTGGTTGCTCCTCGCTCAGAAGAGAGTTGTTATTCAGCACACTCTTAAAAAAACAAAGCAACATGTGACTGTCCGTGTTAAATATACTGCGAGTAGCAAACACATGATCTGGTCGTTGCCTCATATCCTCTATTGCTTAACAGTAACACCTAAAAATGCTTACTGAAAAAAGGCTAAACAAAACACAGTTTTTGGATTCTTGAGCCTAAAATAGTTTGAATAAATGAGTAAATAAACTGGCAGAGAAAGTCCTTGCGATTATTTTATTTGGCTACCACCTATGTTGAACAATAAAAATTAAACCTACCCCGAAATAAGATCTTCAGCTGCAGAAAGAGACACAACGTACTGACCAGCTTCTTCTCGGTTCTGTGAGACTTTCCAGCTCACTAACAAAAGCGCCCCCGCGTTCTGGCATTTCATCGTGTTTATTAGCCGAGATGCCAGTGCTGGTACTTCTGTGTGCCATACTGTAACGTCACGCTGGGGAGGGTCAGCAGTCTCATATTTTACACGCCTTTTGTGCAAAACCACTTGGTTTACTCTGGTTCTGTTTTCAATTGTGCCAAACAGGTTCCTGGGTAGAGCTCCACTTCAGCAGTAATGGGAATGGCAGCGGAAACACTGCCACTCCGACCGGCCAAGAACAAGTACCAGCCTCGATTTCCATTCACAATGGCGACATGGAGAAAATACTCCTGGATGCTCAGCATGAGTCTGGAAGAAGCAGTTCAAGAGAAAGTTCGCATTGCGACAGGTAAACAAAATGCTTTATTGCAAGCAAAGATCATGATTACACAAAGTCATTTTTATGCCTACAAGGCAAAGAAATGCTTACAGAGGTGCGTGTATACACATATGCATGTGCGTATACACACATGCAGAGAGGAAGAGAAAAATTCATATTTAAAAGATTGGTATTTAAATGTTAGAGTAATGCTTGGGTAGAAGCCTGTCCTGAAACCAGAAAGAAGTTACAGGGGAGAGGACTCTAGAAGACTTCTCGCATCTCGTGACGATGCCAGCTTGGGGTTGTGGTGTATCCTGATAAGCCCAGCAGCAGCAGCTGAACTTCCCACGGGTGTGCTGCTTCTTTTGGTAAATAAACCACTCTGGAGCCGTCTGTGGCTGTCATTCTAAAGGATCAGCCCTTGGGCAAGCGGTGTCAGTGAAGCTCCTAAGAGCATATAGTGCTACTGACAGCGCTGCCTGGAATGGGAATGTCAGAGAAAGGTGATAAAAAGAAACTTGTGTTTTGTAATGAGGTATGTCAGTTACTAGTTCTTAGGTAGCTGCTCAAGAATTGTCCTGTATCTAGTTTACAGAACATAACAGATTCCTAGGGGTATAACACAACGAGACAGCTTACATCTGATGCAAGTTGTCAGTCAGTGTCATCAATTAATTTATTTCATTTTGATGGGCTGTGGAGTCTGCAGCCTGAAGTTTAACAGCGGGATGCAGAACTTCCTAGTCTTATCTGCCTGGTCTGACTTCAAACCAAACCCCGCTTCTATTCATCATCTGCTGCCCGTTGTTGTTTAGTAAGTAACATGGGCCACATCATGCAGCCTCTCATCATATCTCTGCACTGCTGCAAAACAGCTCTGTGCAGCAAGCTTCTTGGCAGATTGTTAGAAAACCAAAGATTAATTGAATGCGATGGCTGGATTAAATCACCCATTGACAGATTAATCTCTTAAATTATGGGCAAGGCACCATAGCTCTTCAGGAGGACCGTGCATACAAGCTTCATTGACCAGCTTTTAGTTTGTACCATAAACAAAATCATAAAAAATTTAATGAGTTCTTTCTTACTTGCACTTCTCTCTTTATCAAGCCCTCCTCGTTCCCAGACACCTCAGGACAGTCACAGAGCTTTGGAAATAGAGAGTCACAGCAGCGGAGAAAAGAATAGCTTTCAGGTAAAAATCTCATCTTGTTTTGGGAGAAAGAATTTCTTACTCTTATTGTTTGAAAACCAGTATTAGGAAATAAAAGGTGAAACTGCTAATGTAGAGACTTAAATAACTTAGTAAATTAGAATAATCTTTGCAGAATCCGACTTTCTGTGTTTGTATCTGACTTGCGTATACTTTTTTTTTTAAAATCTGTAACCTCAGATTTTTCAAAAGGATTTAAGTACCCTAATCGGTTGTCTTTTAAAATGGCTGGGTTCTCAAATGCCTCTTCCCAGCCACAAGTTGAAAAGGCCAACCTTCACATCCTACAGGTAGCTTTTAGGAAAGAGGGTAATGCAGAAGATAACCCTAGTCTAGAATTCGAGAGAGCGGGAGTCAGCACCTTGCTAAGCCTCCAACTTCTGGTGATCCTGAGATGTGTGGGCATTATTCTTCCCTACTCAATGGGTTGATTGTGATGTAAGTCTAACAGATTGTGAGACAACTGGGTTTTGGATTAAGATGTATAGGAAACGCATCAAAAGGGTAGATGGATGCATGGTTGTGGAGGTGAGCGTTAATGTTCTGTGGACAACTTGCCATGCAGGAGTTTCCTCTTCCACCTTTGCCTGTCAGCTTGGCATGTTTCGTGCATTCCCCCCCAGTGAAATCTTATTTAAATGCACTACCACTGGTGCATTATGAAATTAAAACCTGAATTTCGCAGCAGCAAGAACTTCTAGAGTCACTTAAATGTGATGGCCAATAACATACATTTTCAAAACACTGCCATAGCTTTATGGTTCCAGTTCATTTGACAACTAGTACTTAACATTTCTACATGCTGTTTGACAAACTCACTGTTATGTCTTATTTCATTTTGTACGTTTGTTTACAAAGAAAATCAGCAAATACATTTGAGAAAATAGTGGGGAAAAAGGATACTCTGTATTAACCATGTATATATAGCTTATTGCATGATGACAGGCTAAAATATTAAGTCTTCGCTATAATTAGATACCACTGTAATTAGATATGAGAAGAATTGCTTACAAAACATTTTGAAGAGTGAAGTATCAAAAGTATTTAAGTGAATTTCTCTGCTCTTCCAAAGACTTGCTCTATTGTCATGGGTACATCACTTTCCCTGCACTGTCTATGTACAAAGAGATACTATTTTCTTGTTAGATTGAAATACACTCCGTACCTGTGACCAGTTCCTACAGGGTTAGCAGTTAGCAATTAGAAATCAAGATTATATTTCGCTTGGAGCCTCTGCATGAAAAGAAATAGCCATGTTTGATAAACTGGCAAAAGTTACCAGCACTAACAGCTACTTGCGCTCCCATGTGCAATGTTATTTCTTTAATTCTAGTGAGACCTTGGGACCCTTACATTTTACTTTAAAAACCCATTTCTTCCCTCACCTCCCTTTTTCAATTACTATTGTTTACCACCTGTAGCTGAGTGCGCACTGGGTTTTCTCACCTTGGGGTCTCCTTGATTCCTTGGCTGTCTGTATTAGTTCGCGGATTATCTGTTTCTACCCGGTGTTATGAACTTCTTAAAACAAAGTCTGCGTTTGCTGTTTGCACAGTATTTAACCTTCTGGGCTTTCACCATCATGCAGTTTCTAAATTGCACAGCTGTACCAATAATACAGAGATTTAATCAGTTCTCAAAATTACACTCAATGTGCTTTGTCCCACTGCCTCTTCCTTTATCTGAAACTCTCCCATCATCTCCACAACTCCTGCGGGAATCTAGCTGAACGCATTGCCATGTTTAGGTTAGCTAAATACGTTACTGGAAATTATTATTTCTATTTTGTGTTTCCAGAAAACCCTTCATATGTTTAAAGATCATTAGTTAAACTTGGAGAATAATCAAAAGTTAGAAAATGGTCAGAATTATTGCCTGGGCACCTTTATTTCCATTCTGAAGTGTGTGCGTATATAGCTATTTTCATTCTATGATCGGATACTATTTTTAGCAAAAGACGTGGCTCCGACTATATTCTTATTTAGCATTTGTGCTGTAACTCACTTGAAAACAGAGCTGCTGTTTGGGGGGGGGGGCACGCGCTTCTGCACAGATGTGTGCAGATAGGTCTGGGCTCCCTTCACCTGTATTCCCAATCCTGCCCCCAAAGCCGGGAGCTTTACAAGCCTAGAATTAGTTTCACTTGGCTTGTGTGAGCTTGCCCGAGGATCTTCAGGTGAGCGTGACCTCCAGCCAGCTCTGGATGCAGGCAAAAAGTTTCTTCTGCCAAGTGCCATCAGACGCGTGAGCTGGAGATCTTTTCGGATCCTGTACGTAAGGGTCAGACGCAGGCGCCGGCACTTGGTCTCCAGGGCAGCCTTTGCTGAAGCAAACGGGGGATGTGGATATGGGCTATGGTCACATCCCGCTCCGAAGACGGATCTCTCCTCGCCCTGCCTATAGCTGTTCCTAGGATCTGGATACTTCAGCACAAGTGACACGGAGAGTCCACAGTGGGAAGAGACGGGCGAGGGAGCTCAAGAGGCAGCCTGGCATGTGCAGAGCAGGAGCTTTGTTTTGCAGTTCGAGCTTCCTACCTGTCATGGGTGAAGCACTGTTTGATAACAGCTCTTTGTTTCAGTCTGAAGAAGATTTTCTTGAAAGGAGGAAAGAAGTAGAACGGCTCCTGAAGAAGAATGCAGATTGGATATGGGATTGGTCCAGCAGGCCGGAGAACATCCCACCCAAGTGAGTGCTGTCAGTGGTTCTGGGTGAACTCCGATGCGGCTTTTGCTTCCGCGAGTCTAAACACGTATCCATTAATGCTGTGACTGTGTTTTCTTCCTCAAAACCAGGGAATTCCTTTTTAAACATCCCAGGCGCACAGCTACTCTCAGCATGAGAAATACCAGTGTAATGAAGAAAGGGGGGATATTCTCCGCAGAATTTTTGAAGGTTTTTCTTCCATCTCTGCTGCTTTCTCATCTGCTTGCCATTGGACTAGGGTGAGTTTCAATTTAAAAAAAAAAAAATATTTTTTTTTTTAAGCCTGTTTTGTCTGAGGCCCAATTCTGACTCCCAATTCCCTCTGTGTCTGAAAGATGAGTATTACACTTCCTGAGTGACTGTGTCCCCCTTCTGTGGGGAAGTGCTTTCTACTTGTCAGCTTGTGGTACTGCTGAACGTATCCAGTTTTCCTTTTCTGCTTTCCTCACTAGTTGAGAATTTTTCAAAATAATTAAGGGGCAGTGAAATTAGTAGTGTTATGTATATGGACTGTAATTGTACATGTGCAATGCTTTGTTCCATGAGAGAGATGAGTTTTAATCTCGCTAGAAATCACAAAGGAGAAAAGTACTGTCTAACGTATTTTAAAATTCCCCTCACAGCTGGGAGGGACAGGGACACCAAACAAAACAGGAATGGGTTTCTCTAGGTGACTGAGGGGTTAGATGATCCTCCTTTAGAAACAGCTACAGGACACAGACGGAAGGGAAGAGCTGAGATGCCTTCTGGTGAGGATCGAGTTTGCCTGTGCCCGGGTGCGGCAGGTCCTGTGGCAGCAGCGCAGGACGCTGAGAGCGCGGACGCCTGCGGCCGCTCTCCCCTCGGAGTACGCTGCCGCACGGGGCTCAGGGGAGGCCACACGAGTTGTGGGGTGACGCCTGTTTTCCAAGGAACCTGCCGTTAGCTCCAGTCCTGCTCTTTCTCTGCTCGCTGCCTTGCATAAATCCTGAACCTTACGAAGGCTCCGAAGCCGAGAGCGAGGGGGAGAGGGGGACTCTGCGCAGCCGCAGTAACTGCCAGGAGGGACAGCCCGAATCTTGTGTGGTCCCTGCGGTATGCATCGTTCTGGGGGGAGGAGGGCACAGGTTATCTTCCTGTACACAAATCAGTATCTCGGCTGTGTAATACTGGAAAAGTAACATGAAACTAATCCAACTCCTTCCAAAATTAAAATGAGGAACTGCACAGATAGAATAAAAGCAGCGGGGATTTTCCTTTCAAAATAAACATGTTTGGTGATGCAAGTACTTCCTTCGTGGTCACTTCCACCACTGCTGCAAACTTGTTTCATTCCAGTTCCAGAATGAGTGAGTAACAGTCACATCTTCGGAAAGTGCTTAACGTAGTTTCAGCAGAACAGTTACACTTCAAAATAATAATTTCTTTAAGCTACAAGAAGTACATGAATAGCAGAGGCAGCGCAGGGCAGCTGGGAGAGTGTACCAAGCTGGGAAATAGCGACCAGAGAAAGAGTAAGAAGTACATGAAGGTGACAGTAAAATGAGTGTGTTACAAACTGCAGAGGTACTTAGCAAATGGGAAAACTTAAGATAGCAAAAGGAAAAAGGTAATAAACCATCTGAGTTGGAGCCCTCCCGAAGCAGTGTGTCCCTGTTAACCCCGTGCTTGTCTCCGACTCTCACATTCCTGAGACCAAACGGCGTACGCGGAGTCGCTCACCCGTGGCGTCGAGGGAGGTTTGTTACAGGGGACGCACAGAGTCACCGGCAGCTGAAAACCGCCCTTTATAGTGGTCACTTGATTTGCCTGCTTAATTTTAGCTGGCGCTGCTGCTCCTGCTGGAAATGACATCGCTGGTAACCTGACGAGGAACGCAGCGCTCGCTGACCCAGTGTGTGTTCTTGGTCCTCAGGATTTACATTGGAAGGCGCCTTACGACCACGGCTTCCAGCAGTACCTTCTAGAGGCACCTGGGACGTAGAAACGTAGGTTCAAAGCAAAGAAGATATTCGTCTGGGAATAGAGGAGGTGGACAGCAGAGGTCTGTGCTGGCGATGGCTCCGTGATCAGGGGGTACTCGTTCTGTAAATGTGTTCCGGGCTCAGTAAGGAGGGGAAGAGAGACACTACAGCTGCTGTATCATATATAGTCTTCTGGATCAATTCGTAGAGCATGTTTCAGACGCAGCAACACCTGTTGTATTGCTTTGTAGTGAAGTATCTTTGAAAATTAAAAGAACTTGATGTTCAAAAGCAATCCTAGCTTTAATGTAGGACTGTGATTCAGCTAGGTGTTCGGCTAAACTGCTCTTTCTTTACACTTCATAGATGTGAATACGCGTCACTGCTGCTGTAATCATGACAGTAAGGGATTAGCCCAAAACGATGTGTGGCCTTATGTATCGTATGCGGGAATTCAGAGAAGCTTTTGCCTGACTTGAGGCAGGTTCTTAGATTGTGCGTGGCGCTCCTTCTCTGGTGTGAGCTGTGCAGTGCAGAGAGCCGCAGTGAGCTGGAAGGAATCAGCGTGCGGGTGAAACCCATCCGGTTGTACTAGTTCAGAGTGTGATGCACAACAGCCTGAATTAAAACGTGGACTTCAGTGCCTAAGAAATAGCTGCTTTTGCAAAGGCATTTATTTAATTCCCCAATTATTCGAAGCTCCTTCTCTTGTATCTACGTGCAGACTATTGCTTCTCAGTCTTTTTATCTGTAAAATTATAAATTTGCATCTTCTATTTGCCTCATCCTTGTATAGATTTAAGAAAGGGTTGCTTGCTTATTTGTTTTTACTAATGGAATGCCTTTTCCTTCAGTGATTTTATCTTATTTAATGAGAAAGAAAAAAAGTTTGCCAAAATATTATGTTTTATATATTTAAATAAAAAGGTTCCTCATGGATTTGGAGTTTTCTCATTCCTTTTTCTCTACTGATTGTTGATAGCGGCTGACAAGGCTCTTTGTCTTTCAACAAGAGTTTCACACTGTTTACTTGCGTAACTAAGAAATAAGTAAGAAGTTTCTGTAGAAAGCAACATCAGTGCTTGTTCTTAAACCTGAACATGGCAAAGCTGGTGGTAGAAGTCACTCAGGGAACAGAAACTCGCTGAACGTGCAGATGCGTATTCTGCTTTGTGCGACCATCATCATTAAAAATAAATTTGCTTTCTACTTTCTTTTTACTTGTATTTACCAGTGCTGACTTTTTCTTCTGTGCCTGTAATGGAACCTGCAAAAATGGGGTTAGTGGGCACTTTGTCGTACTGCAGAGTCCTGGTCCTGCTGTCGCACGGCGCTGGGACTGGATGGGGCTGTGCCGGCCTCATCCTGCGGCCGTCAGCTGGGAGAGATGTGTGCATCATCTCCTGGGGGAGAATCCTGCTGTGGCCACAGGGAATTCTCCCTTCTGTGAACTTAATCCCATGCCTGCTACGGGAGGACCAGGATCTGTTTGGGGTTCTTACTGTATGTCTCCGTGTAATAATAAAATAGATTTATAGGATTATTTTATATTATATAATACATATATTTCCCATAGGGGACATTTGACACAGTTTTGAACCTCAGTGTTCCACCAAAATAGTATTAAAAACATCGGTGTGGGAATGAGTGTTAAGAGATTGTTGAGTCAACTGCCTCTCCTTCGGAAAAGCAAGACCCTTTTTACACCATTGCATCCAAATTTGGGCAAAAGATTCCTTGTAAATACTGCTACAGCCCCAGCAGCTCACCCAGCGCCTCACACCCAGCGGTCTCTGAATCGCAGCAGCAGAGTGGGGGGTTCCGTGAGCTGTGGTGGGTGTGCGCAGTCGCTCGTACCCGAGCAGGGTTCTTATCCTGTCCTGCCTGGTGTGAATCCCGAGTTCCTGGTGTGAATCCTCCCGGTGTGCGTTGCACAGTGTGACTGTACGACAGTACCTATGGGGAATGAAGGAGCTAGAGCTGTTTGTTGGTCTTGTTTCCTTTCTCTTTTCAAACCTAGAAGCAGAGAAATCCTGCATGGGCAGGAAGGGAATTGCTTCCCCGAAAGACGTGGGAAGGAGCCAGTTGTTAACGCTCCCACAGTAGGTGGAACTCCACTCGAGGCCGGAGCTGGACTGTGGAAGGCCACAGCGGGTGCAGCAGCAGCCGGAGCGTAGCGTCCCGCTGGCACATGGCAACACCCTCACGCCATCCTGCCAGCCCAAACTGCCGCGTTGGGCTTCTGTGTCCCATGAAACTTATCACAGATCATCGTAGTTAAATGAAAAAAACATTCTGTATATTCAAACCATGTCATTTGTGTATTCATCATTACCAACAGCTTGACAAGTGGCATATCTATTACCTGTTGCAGCTGCTGAGAAAACAGTTCTAATTTACCTTGCTGCTTCAATTTGAAATGGTTTATGTTATAGGCTCCTTTTTATATTATTATTATTATTCGTCCTGCAGCTCCAGCATCCCCTGGGCTCACGCCCGTGGGTACCCCGGGGTGTGCGTCAGCCTTCCCGTGTGGGTCCAGGCAGGGTGGGCGCCTGCCCGGTGCATCGGCACAGCGCGGGAGAGCCCCCGCTCAGTGCTGAGCCCTCACTCCAACTGTTGTGGTCAACGCAGAGCGGGTGAAATGCAGCAACTTTGAGACAGGACCAGGGAGAAGGAGGGCAGCAGGAAAGGCAGCTCAGGCTCTCCTTACACAAACTTTTGCAGACCGTCAACTTTTTTTTTCCAGATTAGGCACAATGAATGAGGATTTTAGAGGTAGTTACACATTTCATTCTTACTCATTCTTCATTTACATTGATTTTAATTAGAATTACATGCATAATTATCTCTGAGGGTCTGATCCCATGTCCTTGATCTTGCAGCGGATGGATATAGTTTCTACAGCTTTTTTTCCTAGAGCTTTGCATTTCAGCACGCTTTGCTTTACTGGTGGGATGTAATCCCCAGCAGCACCGAGCAGAGCCAGCGGCCACGCCGACGGCTCCAGGGCACACGGGATACTTTGCACAGGCTCCTTCCAGCCACAGAGGACGCCCGGAGGATGGGCAGTGTCTGGGTGAGCTCTGCGTACACGGGCCACCATCAGGAGCTGGTGAAGGTAAAGAGAGAAGCCGAGCTCTAAGACCGAACTTTCAAGGATGCTACAAGAGGGGATTTGCTGCAAACGCAGTTTCTGCTCTCTGCAGCCCCTCGCAGTCTGCCAGGGGAGCGGGTCACATCCGGGAGCCGCTGATGAACACCACTCGGTCTGGCACCGACTCCCTGTGCATCCCCGCTGCAGCACGACCACGGGGGACCATCAGCCCCAACCCCGGTAGAAGCTCAGCCCAATGCAGATGCTCATCTGCTCCAACGCGCCTGGGAAGTTCATACTCATCAAGGCTTCACGTACCTTCTTACCACCAGTTCTGTTTTTTCCATACCGCCTCAACTCTTAGGAGGCACATTTTATTTCATCACGTTGTCAAGTGTGTTTCGGCTGTCCTTCATAGAACCAGAGAATCGTTTCGGTTGTAAGTGACCTTTAAGATCATTGAGTCCAACCATCAACCCAGCACTGCCAAACCCACCACTAACCCATGTCTCCGCATGGGTCTGCCCATCTTTTAGATACCTCCAGGGACGGTGACTCCACCACATCCCTGGGCAGCCCGTGCCAGTGCTTGACAACGCTTTCGGTGAAGAAATTTTTCCTAATATCCACCCTAAACCTCTCCTGGGACAACTTGAGGCCATTCTCTCCTGTCGCATCGCCTGTTCCTTGGGAGGAGAGACCGACCTCCCCCTCGCTACGCCCTCCTGTCAGGGAGTTGCAGAGTGCCACACGCAGCACCCACTGCCCACAGGTCGGTGTCCGGAGGAGCACTGCCACCAGCGCAGGGGCAGGAGCCGACCCCAGACAGCGAGCCCAGGTCCCACTTCTCAGATCCCGCTGTGAGTCAGCGCCACCCCCCACCGAGCCCCCCGGCTGCGTCTGTACACCCCCCACGGTTCTCACTTCACCCCACCAGGGTTTTTTCTGGAGTCACTCGGCATTGCCACGAGGAAATCTGATTCTCTCAGTCAGCGTCAAATGACAACACAATTCAGTTTAATCTGAAATAAACAAATACTTAACGGGAGGATGCCAGGGGGATGGGAGCAGTCTTTTTTCAGTGGCGCCCAGTGATAGGACGAGGGGTAATGGGCATAAACTTGAACATAGGAAGTTCCATCTTAACATGAGGAGGAACTTCTTTACTTTGAGGGTAGTGGAGCACTGGCACAGGCTGCCCAGAGAGGTGGTGGAGTCCCCCCCTCTGGAGCCATCCCAAACCCGCCTGGACGCTGTCCTGTGCCACTGCTGGAGGTGCCCCTGCTCTGGCGGGGGGTTGGACTAGATGATCTCCAGAGGTCCCGTCCAACCCTGACCATTCTGTGATTCTGTGAAATCCCATTCCTGCGGTTTCCAAAGCCGCCCCGAGAGAGGCGGAGACCTTGGAGAGGTTCACCTTCTCCCAGCGCCGGCCACCAGTTTCCGCAGGTGCCTACTTTCTGCTCGCTAAAGAACAACTACACTGACAACTTGAAGCACACACACGAGTCTTGTGAAGAGAGGACTGTGTAGAAAACTCTCAGTTGTAGAGAAACTCTTAAGATATGCACTGTCCCCGTCAGCGCTGGTTACCTGGGCAGCAGGGGCTCAGCACACCAAAAAACGTGACTCTCCGACAAGTTTCCGGATCCCTTACCTCGAATTTCTAGCACAACTTGCTGTTCTTCCACTCACCTCCTGCAAACCACCCACGGCCTGAAGCTCCCCTCCGCCGGGGCGCGTGTGCCGAGCGGCGGATCCCACACCGCACGCTGCTCACCGCCTGTCGCGACCTCCCGCAGTAACGCCCGGTCCCGCCTGTGCAGCGCGAGACCCCGACCGCCCCCACACGCGGTGCCGCTGACGCGAACCGTTCGGGGTACCGTAAACGCGAGTGGGGCAACGCTCTCCAACCGGTCACAGAAGTCAAGGGGGAGTTTGGGCAACTATCTGAAAGAATTGTAGTTTTATCCAATTGACAATAAAAATCTGTTTTTAGATAAAATGAAATGATAAAGTGTCATGAATCATCAAAAACTATTTAATTGAAAGTGGTACAAGCAAATCATGTTTATATAATAGAAGATTTCATCATATCCTTTTTCTTTTTACTCATATTCCACTTACATTTGCTGAAAAAATAGATCAAAAATAGACAGCACTAATATATTCACTGCATATGAACAGACGGCTCGCCGAGTTAGAGGTCTGACCCTTCAGAAACTAACCATTTAAAATGGAAATACAAACAATCTTCAGGTTGGCTTATTCGGCCAATTATCTCACAAACGGAAGACAAACCTTTCAAAATACACAGAGCAAGTCCAGGTAAACATTTAAAATTTATTAAACTTTTTGGTCAAAATAATTGAACAAGTATGTACAATCCCATTGTATTAGCTCTATTATGTGTTTGAGGAACAAGGTCAAATCTAATGCTTTAGTGACCCAGAAGTTCCATGTTTCAAGATTTTCAAATAGTGTCACAACCAATATACAGTATAAGATTTTTTTAATTTAAACTTTATTTGTAGAACCTCAAAGATAGTTGTACTCACTAGCTTACTGTGAACAAGAGTGGCACTCTATGGACATTAATCGGGACGGTAAAAACGGAGACATTTTGCTCTTGCATATGCCGATCTGATTCAGGAATCATTATACACCTTCATTTTAAGAAAAACGGAGTGTAAACCACGCTTCTGTATATCCTCTGGGAAGCTGAAGGGGTCTCGTTTTTCAGAAGGAGCTCCTGGTTTGCAGGCACATTTCTCAGGGCGCGATCTCTAGCTACTCCATGCTACTACAACGTGCTGCAACAGCTCTGGGAACAGGTCCTCACCCAGGCTAGTCCGGGCCGGAGAGAAGGTTGATGCATTTTAGGCCTCTTCGGAGAAAGAAAAAAAAAAAAAAATAAAAAACCCCCAGAAAGTACCTAAGGCTTAAAAAAAAGTTAGCAAGAACAGAGTTCCAACCACCGCAGTGAGGAGCGGCGCGTGGCCGGGCGTCTGCCGCCATCCGGGTGTTGAAGTCAGAACGCGGTACAGGTGCCGAGCTGCGCTGCGCTTGGCGTAATCAAGACAGTTTTGGGGTTTTTGCTGGCTTGAACGGCAAGGTGAGATACAATGTATTATGCCAAATATTTAAAATAAAGTACATCTTCATGACAAATGCTAAAAAGGTTAAAAACCATAATGCACATAAGGTATGTCTCTATCTAACACTGAGAGGCATCGGATAAACTGAGTTTTGATCTTCAAAGAAGAAAATCTGTTAAGTGTTTTGCTTTCCCTTCTGTGCAAGGTGGTCGCTTTCTGTTAAGGCTGCGGATGTCTTTGTACGAACCCTTTCCATCTCCTACTTGGTACACAGACAGCATTCTACACGAAAACCAGTGCAACTGAAACTAAATGACAATTTCATGGAAACTCTAAATTTAGAATTTGAGACACTACACAAAAACGTTTGTATTAGTCTGCCAAAAATCAGTGTTTTGGAGCAAACATTTTAAAACCTGCCCATCAGAATTATTTTGCACAATCTCAGTACATGCAATAAAAAAATAAAAAGACTGAATACATACCTTCAGATTTAAAAACACTTTTTATAGCTTGTTATTTTATTAAGTGGTTTACACCAGAAGGTGTGGGTATAGATACAGTTGGTGAGTAAATATTCATGGAAACCTGTCTACGAACCCAACTCAAGACCTACCTAAGTGCTCAAAGGTAAAAACACCTAAGCCTAGATACAGGCCAGAGGAGGAATGTTTACAGGCATTAAGCACAATATATGTTTTGAAAGGCCCAAATATTACAGCAGAGAAAGAGCGCGAGAGATAGAAATTACATTTTTATGACAATTTTTCTTCTTGGGTGTTAAATTTTTGGTCTATAAACTGGAAAGGAAGGCTCAGACTTTAATAAATACATTTGTTTTGAGTATTGGCCTCATTGAGCACTGTCCATCAGTTCTGCCTCTCGAGGGGTTCTCCCAGAACACCGCGGCTGACACTCCCTACCCCCACTGAAGGCAGAACGACACCATGAACTCAAAACCCAGGCCAGATCCTCTCCTTTATCTAGAGGGAAGTAAGTGCATCAATGTTCTTCACTGGTAGGACAACAAGGCCTTCTCTTTTACAGATAAACAACTGAGCTTAACTATGCAAGACGACGACTCTGTCCTCAATAAGTCATCTTTAGTTAATCTTGTCCTGGAATATATACAAATTATTGGTGGCAGCTACAGCAATGATGTTCTCCATGGGATGCCATGCTGTATGAAGAATCTTCTTGTTGAAGTCCAGACTGTCAACGCTTATTTCATCCTTCTTTCTTTTACCACCTGTACACACTTTACGCGGCTTTAAGATGGCACGAGGTTTGCTGCTCTCCCTGGACGCCTCTAGAGTGATGTCCCGTCGCGTGTTTCGGTCAAACATTCTAAAGAAATTGTTGTACGATCCAGTCATGATAGCACTGTTTAAAAGCAGAAGAAAGGCGAATCTTACCAGGTTTCAGAAAGAGTATCCAACCCCATCTTCTCTCTCTTACACAGACGGTGACCGTCAGACCAAGCCCATGGCCAGTATGTGGCATTCCCCTCTCTGATGTATACCTTCGCTCAATTCCATTTTTGGACTTTAGCACTGCTTCCACTCCACCGCTTTCTCTTCCAGGCCTTCCCCCAGTGCCCCTCTCCAGCCCCCGGCACTCAGCAGCAGTCTTACGCTTTATTCACCTTACTGGGAGCAAGTGGTTTCCCCACTGCCACTCTACCCCTTTATATCCCTCAGCACCAAGCCGCGGTGGAAGCAAAGCCATCGTAAACCACTGCATTCCGGTGGTCCGACACAAATGAAAGTGCCTTCCTCAGCACTGTGCACACGTCGACCCCGAGCACACACAGGGATTCATGACAAAAAATTGTCTTGAATCAGCAAAAGAAACCCCTTATGTGAATGTCTGATGCAGCCCTGCAGAGACAATTCAGAGTATCTACGTAATATTAAATTTGCTTCTGAACATGGCAGAAAAAAATTGCATCTGAAAATGCTTTCATATATCTAACTTCCAATGAAGAGCTTGTTTGTAGCTCTCAAAAAATATACGCTTGAAATTGAGGCCAAGTTGTTCATTTTTTTCCTGTATTGAACACTTATCTCTGCCAGTTGAAACTGGAAAAGCTGTTTCCCACATGGCAGAAATCCCACAGATTGTTACAATCACAACCACCTCACCTGTGTCCTCTTACTGGCTGGCACACATTGTCCTCACGGCACAAGAAAATTAACGATGAGGAGGAGAATGAGATACTATTACCACTCAGACTGTGCTAGCGAATGCGCTCAATGAGGGGCTTTGGGTTTTTTTCTCCCCAAAGGGAGGTGAGCATCACTTCTTCCTCGAGAACTTACGTTCCTATGTTAAAGTGAGATGACCTTGCTTTGACTTTTTTTTACCCCTCCAAAACAGATCGACTGGAGCTGCTTGGAAAAACCCCACAGAAACAAGGCTCAGTTTCTGGCATATTAGCCTAGCGAAAAACGTGCACCACTACTTTCATGCATTTTATGTCAGATCCTGTAAATACCGTGAGCAATTTTTTTTTTGTAAGCTGACTGATACAGGGTATTTCTCCACTCACTAAAAGCCACTTGCAACCTGGGATTTCGAGTAACCAGTTTCTTCAACATCGTTTACTTCAGCAATGCGTAGCTGAGTGGCGCGCTGCGGTACACGCCATCTCAGCTCCCGCTGCCGGCGCAATGGGGGGAGGTTTCGCTTTCTTTGCTGACTCCTGTACGCAGTTTACCAGCTTTGTCTTCCCTGATCACCATCCCCATCTAAACCACGGGGTGGAATTGTCGTTCTTCAATATTTGATAGATTTAGGCCAAAGCTTGTTTCACAGGCTGATCCTGTCACCCCCAAATCAAAACTGATACCTAAACCAGCGACTTGTCTGCTACCAAATGCTGGCAAGTTGTTTAATTAAAAGGTGTTTCAGATATACTCATGTATCTTCTACAAAGGAAGTAAGAATCCCCAAGGCAAGCCAACACAAAGCATCCAGGTACAGGATCCAGATCTGCCACCATCTTATCCATGGGTCCGGAAAGCGTTTTATCAGGTAGCTGATATTACCATAGCTAGTGACAGGGAACACACACCACCTGTGCCGATACAGCGGCTTTGCTATCGCACCGTAACACTTCCGCGGCTTGCAGGCAAAACTTGTATTTCCACTGTTAGCAACAAATACGAGTAATTATCTAACGCAGTTTTATCTTCTTCCCATGTTTTCTGTGGGCTAAAGAAGATTCAATTTGCCGGACACAGAATGCATGTTTTTGTATGCACTTTGAGAACAACACTGACTCACATTTTCATGGCTTGAAATGGCCAGTCTTGACTACATAAAACTTCAACCATAATTCATATTAGAAGCAAACTGAGATGTGAAAGTTTATTCCACTTCTGCAACTGGAGGGTGGAGAATTGAAGAAGTTTTGTAACACAACTTCCCCCCCAAAACAACAAAACCTCAAACCACCCCAAACCCCCTCAGTTGACCGGAATGTAACAAAACACACCCTAAACGTTAAGCGCTGCTTATGGCTTTCAAGGCTGGAAACCAAATTCCTGAAGCTGAGGGAAAAACAAAAAAAACCCGGAACAGAACAGCAGCCCCAACTCACCTATCAGAACCATTCCAGCAGCATTCAAATTTGTCGAAGATGCAGTCATTTTCGTAAAGGGAACAAAGCTTGCTTCGAAGATACTCATGAACCTTTTTGGAACATTTAAATTGGTATCAGATACAATGAAAGAGAAGAAAAGGGGAAAGAAGGGATGTATAAGAAAACTTGAACGCCATACTTGATATGTCTCTACAGGCCTGTTTTCCATATTGAGGTCCCACACTTTAACAGAAAGGTAGTCTCTTGTCATCATGTATCGACCGCTGTGACTGAATTTTACATCAGATATCGATGATATTATTTCTGAAAAAAATGATCTGCTGCTAGGATCTTCAGGTTCTTCAAAAACTGTAGACAGAAGGCACAATTACAAATTAAACCAATACCAAGTTTTACAGCTCTGAACATTTTTTGGTACTTGGAAAATTTTAAATCAATATACTAGTTTCTTTTTCAAGAAAGTTGCTGTTAAGTATTTCTAAAAAAATAAGTTCTTTTTAAACAATGTTACAGTCTTAGTCATCAGATTGCTACATGCCTATCTCCAACATTCTCAACTGGAGCACAGCACCAGCAAACTACAATTCACAGGTCTTAGGGACGAACCAGAGGAAAAAAAAAATATTAAAAAAACAGCACGTGGGTACAATAAACATCACAACTGATCTACAAGTTGTGTTGAACAGCAGCAGACGAACACACCAGCACCCCAAACACAGTATCTTAATGCATGACCTGTGTATTTTGAGACTACTGCACAACATACTTTTCTGAATAAAAGTTGTACAACACAACCTACTGAAATGAAATACTAACATCTACACTTGAAACGCAATTGGAATGATTTTAGAAAGCAGATAAAGAAATACACTATTTAAATCAGAGTTAATCTTTGGAGTCAATATTTTATGATACAAGCTACCCAGAACTATTTATTTTGTTCTTGAATAGACCCCTTTTAACAGGATGTTATTCAGTGACAAGCAGTTAAAAAATGAAGTGTTTCTAAGTAATTTAATGGGACACTAAGTCAAACAGGTGAAGCGGCCCAGCATTCTACGTTTCCCACTGCACAAATATTTCCTTCCACCAACAAGGAAACCCCATCTGCACTACAGAAAGCTTACCTGCAGGTACCAGCCTGGTAGGTCACCCCACAGGGGCAGCGATACTAATAAGCCACAACTATTACAGCAGTGAACAAGAAATGAGTATGCGTGCAAGGCACAGGCAGTTATCCTCATGACTTCGCTAGCCAAGCTCTCCTCACCTACATAAGCTTACGTGGCTCAGCAGGCTAAAGAGCATTCACCTTTCACCCCTGGAAATTCGCTTCACACGCAGCGCATATTCCTAAGAATTAATTCTATGCTAGGAGCTGCAAATGGACACAAAGTCAATGGAGTCTGGCAGCATCAGCCCAGTTTCTAATGCACAAAGGCGAATAAACTGCCCTGAACTGGCATTTGATAAGCAGATACCTTTGAGAAGCACCAAGACTGAGTCTGGACAGAAGACAGGTCTCACTGGTGCCAAAAGCACTTGTTCCCATCAGTTTATGATGCATAAATGGGTAAACAGGAGCAGAGTCAGATCGGCAATTGTCTCATGCTACACTTCTGCTTGTTGATGGCCTAGAACAAGACAATTAAAATGTTCCATTCTACAAAACTACCACCCCTTACCTTGTATGCTCTTTACCAATAAACAGAACGTGGTACGTTTATTTATAAGCAGAACACCTATACGCTCCATCTTGCATGAAAACAAAGCAAGAAACCCCTAAACCAGAGACGCAGCCTAACTTACATTTCGAATGCCTGTCACAGAGGGCCGAGGAACGCATGTCACACAGTCGAATAGTTCCTTTGCTACTGCTGTAGACAAACACGTTACAGTGATGAGGGTGGAACTCTGCAGCAGTAATCACTTCTGTCAGCTCCTCCATGTTAGCAGGCTTAATATCTACAATATCTGGAAAGGTTTTTGTAAAGGCATGTAACATTTCACTCTCAAATCACTTCTAGCAGATAAGTACTAAAAAATGTTAAAAATACAGGTGTCCCTGTCTATGGCGGGGGGGTGGACCTCGATAATCTTCAAGGTCCTTTCCAACCTAAACCATTCTATGATTCTATGATACCATGCAGAAAACCGGGGCAAGATCTTAATTTCCACCATGGGCAAGCTACACAAAGTAAAGTGACCCGAGTAGACTAAAATAATAAAAAAAAAAAAGAGATCGTCTAGATTTTACGAATCAAATTTCACAGATGCTGGAGATAATTTCAGGCGCCTCTCAAGCCTCCTTCTTAACACGTCCTATTGAACACTGAGTGTACTTCATCTATGGACCTAAAGCTTTAAAAAACTTGTGCATAACCTATTTAATATTCAGCATTTCTGCAGCTTTTATTTTAGTGCAGATTATTTACAATTTTATTTTGCCTTTATTTTCTGCAGATACATCAATGTAGGACATTCTATTAGTTTGGATACACATGCTTGCAATAAGATTTGCAAATTATTTCTGCAGTTGATGATACCATTTGACATGGAAAACAATTAAAATTTGTTTTCTTTAGGAGAAGCGTCACTTAGACAGTTAAGAGACCTTAAACTTTGGAAAGAAGTATCTACAGTAACAAAGGATCTACTTTTCACATCTTTCAACTCTTATTTAAGTCGACTGAACTCCACAAATAAAGGATGCTCCCAAAATCTCTCAATTTCTCTTTAGAAGTCAAACTATAAAACAATTTCTACTGGCAGTTTTCCATTGAAAGAATGCTTGCACTCGAGAACGAATGAGAGCATCCCGAGGCCTGCTCTCACTGTATTAAACCTCCAGATTTTAAACCCCTATATTTTAATCCCCAGATTCAAAGGCCTACTCTAATTAGTAAAATTAAAGTGATTCTCTTAAACATACACAACTTAGATGCGCCACATCGTTTACAGAGAACAGAAAAAGGATACTAAAACTTCTATCTGTGATTTCTAAGTGCCATAGATTAATTCTTAGGTCATCTGCAGAAAGGTATGTTTCATGATCGCTATTTACTGAAATAGAGTTTATGTGATAAGTATGTGCATTTGCAAATATCCTTCTGGGACTCGCTTCTACCATTAGGTCCATGGGTTTCAATATTGGCACCTGAAACATAAAGAAGAACAGTCAATTTTGGCATAAAACGGATTTCTAATTCAGAAGATGTTAATTAAGTGCATAGCACTGATTTCTGTTTTGATTTAGTAACTAAATACTTTTCAAATCCACTGAGCAAGAAAAGTAATAAAACAGCCTATGAATGCGGCCCTTGGATACCACCAACATAAAACCTCAGACACCGACTGCTATGATTCTGTGTTACCTGTCAAATACAGCAGCTTTGTACCTCATGCCACAGCAAAACCGTGGTGTTTAACTATACCTGAAAATTATCTTCATTTGAAACAAGTGCTTAAAAATGCCCCCCATATCTTAGAGGGGTGCTTGTGAAATCGGTAAGAACAGTTTGCAAAGGAGCAGCCAGTATGATTTTTGGAAGATGCCCTGTTTCCACAACCAGCTGATCTGAAGGGTGACAGGTTTGCCAGGGTCAAGTGGACTAAGCTTCCCTCTAGCTGCTTCTCACTGACCGGCAAGTGAATAGCTTTAAGGTTGCCCAAGGACATCCTGCGCTGTTCTGGTACATACAATTCAACAGGGCACTAACTTACATCATCCAACCAAGAAAAAATTATGACAGTGTCCAAGATAATCTGTCTTCCCGGAACAAGAAACAAATTAATCCAAGAGCTCTGTAATTGCTTTCACCATGTTTGTATCTCACAGTCTGTTTACATCAAACTGTAATGATTAAAATTAATCCATTACTTTTTATTAGGCAATTTTCCTATCTCACCACATGAGTGTTCCTAGCCTGGCTGTCAAATCGAAAATGCGTTAGTGTGAATTATCAGGAATAATACTTGGAAATGCCACGGTCCCTACGCAAAGGGTGCAGCTCTGAAGTGCTGCTTCTCTTCCATGTCTACTTCTTCATAAACAAATGGGGGGATTATGTTTCTGAAACAAAATATGCAAACAAAGCCCATAAAAGCCCAAGGTACATATAGTCTAGATCTCTAAAACTTGATCATTTAAACATATGGTGGTAACTCCAGACGAGGCTTTTTCCCCTTCTAGCAATCGCTGCTCAGACTTGGTTGATGCCATCATCACTGCTCGCAAGATGCGGTGCCTGGCAAGGTCTGCAGCACAGCCCAACCTTCCTTTCCCAGAAAAGCAGCAAATTTAAAAGACTAACTTTTAAGAGAGAGGTTCTTGCTTTTTGTTGCTTCCCCCTGTTCGGGTTGATGATTCCTAAATATATTAGTGTTTGAAGAAGATGCTAACATACTGCCTTCAGCGATACAGCCACTGCCACGGAAAACCGCGAGGCCTTATTTCTGGACTCTCCATGTTCCCAGATGGGTACTCTGCTCCTACATAAGGGCAAGGCTGTAGAACCCAAAATTTCATCTGTACCTACTTCCAGCCACTGGGCTAAGGCACTGTACCACAATTTATTTCCTTGTTTTCAGATATTTTCATCAGAATACTCAATGAGATCTTGGCTCCCACACGCTGAGTAGAAAGACACTTTCAGAGGAAGTGTATATCCTTTCCCAACATGATTAGGCATTAGGCTCAGGTATACCTAAAGCTTCAGTTAAATATTCAATTTAAGCAAAAGCAAGGCAAAAAACATCAAGAAATGTTAGGAGTAGCGTTGGCTTTGAAAATAGCGAGTGCCTCAGTTCAATTCCTATTTATGGTAATAACAACACAAAAAGCCACGGAAAACCACAACCCCACAGTGCTTCATTTCTTGAGCTCCTGCTTTAAACGATCCCAAGTTTGGGGTGCTAGCCCTACCGCTGCGTCGCTATGCAAGCCGAAAAACGTCAAGACTATTCAAGTATACATTTTCCAAACGCTCATAACTTGCCTCTTACAAAGACACCTTCTACCTACCCATAGAATACTCAGCACCCCGTTTAAATTTTTAAGTCTTGTTCTTAGAAAAAAGGCCGAACAAGTTAAATATGAGCAATATTGAGGAAAAAAAAACCCAAGAATTATCAATACAATCAAAGCCAAATTCTTCTTAAAATTCCCAGTGGCACGTGCTTTCAGGCAAACAGAAGGACCCTACCGCCAGCGCTAGAGCAGCTCTCGGGGCGGATGCAAACGTTAGCCCGGGCACCTACTACTGCTTCTCGAGAGCGAGTGGCACAGGCACCACAGCACCGTGCTCTACTGACCGGGCACGGCCAGCGGGAGAAGTCAGGATGGTACGGGCCTCCGAAAGAAATGTGTTCCCTGCACTTTTCTTCATGTCGCACTAAGACATTGGACTATTTTAAGAACACAGCAGGATGAGCCCATGCTTTCTATGAACTGAGTACAGAAGTAGAGCAGCCCCAGACAGATACTCAAAAATGCTGTATTTTCAGGCTTGAATTAAAGCATTTTGTTATATTTTACAACTTGAATATACTGAGGTGGATGAAGGCTGTCTCTAATAAAATATTTTAATTACAAAAACCGGTTTAAATTTCAAATCAATTTTAAATATACTAAGATGTTCCAAGAAAAAAAAAAACCAAACAAACCAAAACCCAAACAAACCGAACTCCTGGGAAGTTAATAATCTAATATAACATAATCATGAAAGTTTGCTTCAAGTTTTCCAGAGGAACCTTATTTAATGGTTATACATACATAAAGAAGTGTCTCCATTTTTTATAAAAGTTTTAAATGACCCTGAGCAAAGCATCATTTGTAATCCACACATTTTGGTTAACAAATTTGGCAATACAAAGATATGCATGCAAAAAGATATTTAAAGTCAAAGAGCAGAAACATACCCGTAGTGCTGTGATTCTGAAAGGATCCCTAAGTCTTCCATCTTCATCTTTTAAATTATAACCTTCGGCTCTTTTATCCCTTTCACTTATTTTCCATAATTTAATAGTTTTATCTAAAACCAACAAAAATTCACATGCTTGAGAATGACTTAAATTAAAAATAAAATCACTAAATGATGAAATCAGCGGAGCGGATATTATTTATCTATCTAGGTTTCCACTGCTTGCAACAGAAAGGACCCCGAGGGAGTCCTTTAAACAACCAGGTACCACTGAGTACAGCCTGCCCTACCTACACTACAAGCACTTTGCCTTCCAGCTGTATTGTTTAGCAGAACTGATACATGAAAAACAAACACAAAATACACCAGACACATGCACTTGGAGGGCACGGATGGGAAATGCACAAAAATACCAGTGAATGGAGAGGAAAAAAAGATGGATTCCATTTTAACTCCGATGTAATGTTCAGTTTGAATAAAATACAAGTTTCTTCCTGCACAATCTGGCCCTCCGACTACCAGTCACCAAAATGACCCTTCACAAGGCAAGCGTCACACACCAATCACCCAAATTCACCAATAAGCCCTGTATGACCACCTACGTTCTTTTTAACAAATGCTAGGGAAAACCCCAACAAACCCATGAATTACACTAACTACCTTAAGAAAAACCAAATTTGTCCCAGGTGTCTGCTAAGAGACAAGCAGCGGCAGTGAGAACAGGATGTGCCCCACTATTTTAGGGTTCCATGCCCAAAGACACGTGCTTCCCAGGGCTTACTAAGGGAAGTCTTTCCAAGTGCAGAAAGTAAGTACACACCAAGGGTGAGAGCCTTAGCTAACTGGAAACAAACCTCTCCCCCCAGGCTACTGCATATCCTTAAAGCACTTAAGATGACACAGTTTAAAGATTGCTTTAAGTTTAGTAAGACTTAAAACAAAGTAAGACTATTTGAATTTCAAAGTCCAATAGACAGAAGTCATTCCCACTTTTAAAATTTCATATAGCAGACAGGATTACCAGCCCTTACATAACGTCATTTAAGGATGAGGCAAAGAGTGATTCAAACTTAGGAACAAGTGTAATCCTCTGACAATAAAAGCAAGTTTTTCCATGCACAGCTCTGCATTTACATTTACAGCTTGCTCCATCATGCATCAAAATGAAACAGATCTAATACCTAATAACCACTACTAGAATACTGGAAGAAATAATAATATATAACCCCAACAACACAGTGCATGAAAACTTGCGATTTCCAACTTGTAATTTTTGCACTGCTTTCATATATCCTAAGGTACACAGTGAAAGTGGTATAAATACACCCCTCCTAGAGTGACTGTTGTCTTTTGAACAGTTGCTTTTCAAAGCACACGTGATGCTTTGGTATTGGAAAAGCAAGACGACATTGTAACCACAGTGTTTCAATTTCAAATGCTTTTATTAAAAATTCATCTGGGATTACAAAAAAATCAATTTCAAAATTAGGATGATCAAGTCAAATTCAGACTTCTGCTACAGTTCAGCATACTGGGAACCCATTCATACAAAACCAATAAAGCAGAGTAACAGCGTATGGAAATTGATAGCACAGTCTGTTTACCCACAGAATGTAGCTCTGTAACTATGTCTATTCTGTTGCTGCTTCATTATTTTTACATCCCAAAATCAGTAATTTACAGAGTATTACAATCAAAACATATTTTGCACATAAGTAGAGAAGACATTAAAACAACCCCAAAACACTCCAGACCCACCCCATCCCCCCTTCTCCCCCCCCCAAGTGGATCACAGGTGAGATAACGTTCAAAAGTTCTTTGTGCAAAAATAAAGTGTCCTTACCATTTGTAGACAGCAGGAAATGAGCAGCATTCTGTTGTGGTAACCACCTAATTTTATTAATTTTTTCCTCAATTTCTAGACTTTTCAAGTAGTCAAATTCAGGTTCGTGACTCTGAAAGGTACTGTAAACATTATATTCTCCCCTAGAATGAGGACGGCTTTTATTCTGCAAGGAAACATAACATTTCTTGAAGCTGATGTTACTTGGTTCATTAGGAATTGTACATACGAACTAATGACTAAAAATTGTCAATAAGAAAATAAACTTTATACAACAGATCTTGATGAATTTTACATTTTTACTCTATGATACTGTATTTAGTTTAGCATCAATATAGTGCACACAGACTTCCTTTCAAAAAAATGTATCTTTATGTATAAATACGTGTGTACTCATGGAACAGAGCATATCAAAGCACTTTACAGAGGCACGCAGTCTGCAAAGGAGCTCCTGCGTTTGCCTGAAGAGGTCCAGGCTACACCACCTCTCCCAAGCGGTTTGAACAGAACTGGAGCAGAGAAGTTAACTACATCCTAAATCCTAAACCCCCAACGCCATGTTAGCTACATTCTAAATCCTAAACCACCAACGATGTGATTATTCTGCACTTCACCTAACCCCCATTCCTGTCCTCCAAAACTCATTCCTCTGATCGCCACAATATGGACATAACGTAGGGATTCCAGACGAGGAAATGTATGTTAAAGGACATAGAGTAATTATACATGTTCTTATAAAAACAAGACTGCACAAAGTCATTCTGATGAAGGGACAGCAAGATCAAGTACGAGCATTAGATCTAGCTCCTCTCCTACTCACTTTAAAACATGCTACGTCCCGGCGTGGTATCAAGGCTTATAATTAAGCTTTGACAACCTTTTTTATTATAAAAATTTGAAAGCCAGGATTACCACGTTTTCATCTAAGCCATTCTATAGCACTCATCATGATGTACCAAAGACTACAACAAATACACTAACAACTTCTCCCCTCACAGAAGTAGAGACTCCTACTTATTATCCTCATTTCGCAGAGCGGTAGCAAGGAACAGAGATCAAAGTCACAAGTATCCAGCGGTTTGCAGTATCAGATTTGAGGCAACCAGCTATCCGGCTTTCCAGTGAAGTTAATGTTAGACAGTGATTCGTCTTTGGAGAACAGCCCCACCTGTAGAGCTGCAGTGCCCAGAACTTCTGAAAGAACAACCTCCCGAACACCGCCGGGAATCACTCACTTGAGAGCAGCAAACCCCTTACTCGCAGTGGCAGGCGCGCGCGGGCGCAGGAACGGCTCTCCCGGACACCCGCGGACGGAACGCCACCTGCAGCAGCCGGCAGTGCCTCGCACCATTGAAGACTGCCTGGCCAACGTGCGGCAGCAGAGGCAACCTTTGTCCTGACACTTCCTTACGTTTCCACGCTTGACTTGGCAACTTCGATAAGGTTATTTCAGCTAGGGTTTTTTCCTGCTATCTCTCACAAGTAAGGAGTTTTAGTTAATTCTGAGACTTCACATTATTTTACTCCCTACTTGTCATTTAACTTCTAAGTATTTTGGACAGGATCCTCTCAACTAACACTATTCAATATAGTTATCTAGGGAGGAATAACCCCATGCACCAGTACAGGTTGGGGGCTGCCCTGCTGGGGAGCAGCTCTGTGGAAAGGGGACCTGGAGTCCTGGTGGACAACAGGATGACCATGAGCCAGCAATGTGCCCTGGCGGCCAAG